TAATAGCACGAGTTCGAACCCTGGCGAGGGAAGAACAATAATTTGCTTCCTCAAATTTGCAGATTTACCATTGTTGTGCTGATATCTAGAGTAATTATGACTATAATATGTCTTTTCAGCCGTGTATCACCTTCACTGGTGATCCAATGGATGGATCTGTCGTAGAGTTGTCACTTGTTTAGACGTACCTATCAAATAATTATTTCTGTGACTGCATCTTACGATCCTTTACAACAGATAATTTAGCTAATCTGCAATCAATGCCATCTCCATGCCTAATATATCATGTACTGTGTTACAACTTTAGATTCTACTGCCAAGGAAAGGTAACACTAGGCCACCGAAAGCTGAATTTTTAGTTTAGTCTAGGTGGCCGAGTGGTCTAGAGCACTGGACACAGTGCAGGCGGTGTTGTCACGACATCCCAAAAGCATGAGTTAGAATCCCGGCGAGGAAAGAACAAAAATTTGCTTTCGCAAAATTGCAGATTTAACATTGTTGTGCTGATATTTAGAGTATATATATTCTGATAAATCTTTTAGTTTTTACTTTTAAATAAAATTTTAAAAAATCAACAATACAAAACCTATAATCTTTTATCTATTGGTAGTAGCATTTTAATGCCTATCCGCTAGAATATCTATGGACACATATGAATATATGTTTCAAATTTATCATAGCTTTAGTTTTACTGTGAAATTTTATAATGTTTTCAAAATATGTAAAGTTTCTCGAATATTGACATTAAAAAATACATACATTGAATAAGATAAACTCATACTTACTAACAGTGTTACGAATGCAACCTGCCTCACAGTAATATATGGTTACAATATACACCAAACAGGCCAGTTTTACAATATTTCCCATAACGATATTTCGAGTAATTTATAAACCGTTAGGACTAAACTTTTTAACTTTACTCTAGAGTGTTTTCTAACTTGATCAAGTACTTTAACATACCACTTAATTATATGTCGTAACACTGAAAACGTTTGAAATACGTTTGACGGATGTAATTATAAAAATAAATTAATACATATAACACCATTTGTCTGTCTTTATAACTACTCGCGTTTCATTTTAAACTCGCCCTTCACGCTCATTTTATTTCTGCGGATTTTTGTCAATGTATTTTTTATAGGTGCTGATTCTTTGAAAACATGGTTTCATCAGTCTTGCTTTCAACTTCACTCAATTTTGTACAATAATGAAAATCAGCAGAGAGTTGCAACCCGGAAGTACGGCTAGATTTGATTAACCTGAATATTTCAAAACTTTTAAAGTCTTTTTTCCTAAATGCTTTGTACTTGTATATCATTCAAACCAACATTAGAATGTATGTAATCACAAGTATAAAAATTAAGATTATCATCATGATCATGTTTATAATATATTCAACATCAACTGTAGTCATTTATTTTATTCGAGTATTTAGCTATAGAGTCTGAAAATAGAGTGGTTTTCAATTTATCTGAAATTATTCTCAATAAGGCAAGGAATCGACCATCTCTTTTACAGTGGATTTTTTTCTCTAATAGAAAACTGTAAATAAAGCACGTATGCGTCAACTGACAAGTCACCATGCAGATTATTTAGTTTGTAAGGCACTTTTGACTGAAAGTTAAACGTGACACCTCCGCGTCTTAAACTGTATGTCGAAAATAAAGAGGAATCTCGAGCTGTCTAAATTATCAATCTCAAAATAAAAGTTTGTCAAACAATGCCTCGTATATAACAATTAAGATAACTCATAGACAAAAAAAGAACTTACTGTAATTTTTTACAGTCTCCTCCTAATATAATTCTATGCATTACATTGATTTTTCATCGTAATTCACCTTGTTTGCCTTGGATTTACGATTCTTTTTTTGACGGAATGTTCAAACGAAAATTGTAGTGTTGAACCATCTCGTCAATTTCGGCAGATTCATCTGTATTGATTATAAATGATATATGGGACTCCGAAAAAATAAACGCGTCCTGAACATGAATGAAATATTTGCCCCTTCACGTAAAGCTACCAACAAACAACCAATCAACTGGCATAATATACTTACAGTCTGTTAGTATACTATTCTCAAATACATTCTCATACTTTTCATAAGTCCAAATAGCCTTTCTAGACGTGATACTTATTGGACTAACTTTTCATTATAAAGTACACATATAATCAGTCATGTCAGTGTTGTATCATAGTTTTGTTATACAAACCATCCTGAAATATGGAAACTACAAACTGTAGTGACGGTTCAATATTATGAATATGAATAGAATATCCTGGCACTCTTAATTAATAAGGACAATATTTTGTAGTCATCATGGTCATTGTGCACAAATATTGCAGTTATTTGCTTAATACAATCCATCCTGAGGTAACAAATTTACTGATTTATGATACGGCTATAACATTTCATAATAAAATGCAAATGATCATGAATATGGTCAGTCATTAAACGATTTACAGATGATAACACCTCACACATACTTTTTATTGTAAAGTACAAATATGGTCGGTGTTGGTTGATGCGGTCAAATATTTTTGTTATACGAGAAAGTCTGAAATACTAAAAGTACTGGTTTTTTGTGACGAGTCAATAGTTTAAATAAAAAGTGAACATGCTGGCACTCTAAATTGATGCTGATAAAATTTGTAGTCATTGTGTTCCAATATTGCTGTCATTTGTATTATACAATCCATTCTGATTTATGATATTGTTACGGCCAGAAATCACCTTTACATTGTAGCCAACAAAAGACACAAATCAATAATAAAAATTTAACAAGATTGTTTATACAATTTTACAAGAAATATTTCTCAAATAGAAATGTCAACTTAACTGTTAAAATATATGTCCGATCCTTTGTGTTTTCTTTATCCGGAATTCTTCTCTTAACTGTAACGGAATATGTCCAATAAGTTCACAATCTAATATGATGTAGATAAAGTAAATAAGATTGTCAATCCAACAACTCCAGAGGACTTCCGAGAATACAAGTATATTGATGTCTGTCTGTCTAATTTCGGTGTCTGTATATAAAGTAGTGAAACTTCTAGAAAACTGTAGAAGAGAAACTCGTAGAAACTGTAAAAGAGAAATTTCTAGAATATTATAGAAGTTTAAATTACGCATCGAAAATTATGATCATTCTGGAATTATTATGTAAGTCAACTAGAAAATTCTAATCATTCTATCAGTATCTATGATTGTTCCAGTAATTTCTTAACTGCACAATTATAACATTATTTTGTAAACAACTATAAAAGGTAAACACCCCAATTATGTATCTTTTAAGGCCAGACAATACACATAAGGTCAAGATAAATAAACATGATAATGACAATATCACAACACCTTTTAAAAAAAAGTTTGAGTGTAATGAGAATTTTCATAAACAATATCTACAAAAATATATAGTATGTATTGCATGTTTTTATAAGATCTAGATAATGCATCTTTTATTACATTATCTTTACTTTTAATATGTTTTACAATAACATTATATTCCTGTAACAATAAACTCCACCTAGTCAACCTCTGGTTCTTGTTTCTCATTTTTTATATGATCAGTATAAACAAGAAAAGGATGCATTGTGGGATTTAAATGTACATCAAAATATTATAGTACAGACAATAGTGCAAAATACTCTTTTTTAATAGTTGAATAATTTTTCTGATGTTTATCCAATTTCTTGGAGAAAATATGAAATAGGTTTCTCAATATTATCATCTGTTTCTTGATATAAAACGGCTCCAACTCCAACATCACTTGCGTCGACGGTAAGTTTGAATTGTTTTTCAAAATCTGGAGTGATCAGAACAGGACTGTTACTTAAAACTGCCTATCAGGAGACCGAATATTTTATTGTGAACCTGTGGAACAACCTTTTCCTAGACAAGTAACAATAGGAAACTACAGGGCTACAATCCTTCATAAAGGTCAACCAACAAAAAACAGAGACGACATGGTGTGCAAAAATGCCTCGAAAAAGGCCACTTCATCAGCAATTGTCCAAATGACTGGAAATGTAATATCTGTAAAAAATCTGGACACAAACAATCAGAATGCGAAGAGCCCTTTTCAGACAACAATAATGAACATGATGAAAATGAATTAACAAACACAGATGATGACAATACAGATTCAGAGACTGATGACAATAATGATGAGACTGCACATACTCAACAACATGAAACTGAACAAATGCAGGAAATACCTAACCAGCAGATGCAGGAAGTGCCTAACCAACAATCGCAGGAAGTGCTCACTCGCAATCCGAAGAAAACTCAAAACAAAAATTCGCAAGAGGTGTCTATTCAAAAATCTCAACCTCTATTTCAATCAATCACCAATGAAGAGAATGATGAAAATACAGGACAAGCTGCAACATCAAGTCCTAAAAAAACTAAAAAAAAAATCTAGTAAAAAGAATAAACTAACTAATCAAAATGATGCAAAAGATGAAAAACAAAGTTCAATGCAACAATTTCTAGTTGAGAAATAAGCTAGTGCAACCACTCCAGGAAATAAAGTTTCAAAAAGGTCTGCAACAACACCCACAACTGACCTATTCGATAGAGAGAACCAAACCAGCAAACCAAAAACTCAAAGTTAAAAAGGAGAAATAAACATGTACAAACGATTATGTAGCTAACTCCTTTTTTCTTTTTGTTTATCATCTCTATATTTTTTACAATGATTTGTTTGTATATAGTTTTATTATTATTCATACATATATGTATGCCAAGCATATTCCTAAAGGTAGATAACCACCTTGAAGACGATGCTTTTTACATAAATTTAAAAAAAAACAGTAAAAATACAAAGACATGTAGTGATGATTGTGATGGAATATTAGATTCCATACTTTCAAGACGTAATAGAAAGAAGAGTAAAATAGAAATGAACCGAAATGTTGTTTTTATATCATAACGTCAAAGATTAATAAAAAACTAAATATTATTGGTCTGTGTGATCATACAAAAAATATACACATAACTAGAGAATGTTCTTTAATAAACATAACATTTATTAATCAGATTAATATGTATATACTTATATACTATAAATATCTAATAATATTCCACAAATTTGCAATATCAATCCCTTTATATAAGTATCATCATAGTTTGGAAAACAGTTTGCAAAGAAATTCCTACTTCCTACAGATTAACTGGAGTAAGAATCTCAAAATTCCAATCCTATGCTGTCGAAAAAATAAATCTATGAATCAAACAGTTATCCAGCAACATTTAAGTACAGTCCATATTTACACCTGGATAATACTTCACTGTAAGATCTCTCTACATAAACTTCATGACTTTTGGCTTCAATACGTTGTATTATTATACAAATGCTCACAAATATACATGTACATGTATAGATACTGGGAAAGAATTTTTAGTCGAAATCCAGCAATATTAATCCTCACATATAAATGTATTCTTGTAAAAATCTTCAGTATCACTAAATCAAAGCACTTTAGTCTTCATGTAAAACAAGTAAATTCATCCTATTATCAAATCGTGTCGTTCGTAACCAAAGACATAAATTTATACCAATGTATCTTGAACTGTGTTAAGCTCACGTTGTATTTGAGCTTGATATCTCATCTACCTGCAGAAATAAAAACAAAATTGTTACTATCAACTACAACTAAAACAAAATATAACAATATAAGCGCATTATTAGAATCAGTAGAATTTAACAGAACAAAAACAATAATTAGAAATTACCTGAGCAAACGACTGCTATTAATAGATGCGGGAAAATCCCTACATAGATTATTAAAAACATGTGCACCTTTCCCGAACCGGTGTCCAATTTTACGGGTAGATAAAATACACATAAAAGAGAATGTATTCATTATATTTATAGTTAACATAATCATGTTAAATACAATGTTGTTCTCAATGTATATATGTATATTTTTAATTTATGCATGCTATTGTTCTTGTATATGTTTGTCAATGTATTCAGTATTGTACAACAATTTAAAAAGTCAAATGTCACAATTATGTATTGTGTCTTTTACATGTGAACTACTCATATTAAGGATAGTTGGCTACATCAGATTACAAAAAAGTTCAGAAAAAATAAAATACAGTAGAGAAGGTTTAGGTTTTAAATCACTTGCTTTAAGCTACAAAAATTATAAGATTCATGAATAAAACTTTACACATCTGTTCCTTAAATTGTCAAGGACTAGGTCAAAAAGAAAAAAGAAATAGACTTTATACATGGTTGAAATATCAAAAAACAGACATACTTTTTATCCAAGAAACTCATTTTGTTGTAGAAATAGAAAATAAAGTTAGCAACGAATATGCTGCAGATATTTTTCATAGTTTTGGCACCACTCAATCAAAAGGTGTAGCTATATTTATAAAAAAAACATTAAATTCAAAGATAATTGATACTTATACTGATCAAGAAGGTCGCATAATTTTGGTAAATGTTGAAATAAACAACAATATATTCTCTTTGATTAATTTATATGCACCAAATGAGAAGAAAAAGAGAAATGTCTTTTTTAAAAAATGTAAATACAATAATTGAAGAGCACAGTCTTGGAATTTTAGTGGTAGGAGGAGATATGAATGAAACATTGAGTAGTGCAGATAGAAAAGATAATAAAAAAATAGAGAACAAAAAATTACAAATAGTTTGAAAACTTTATTAAAAACAAATAAACTAGAGGATATATGGAGACAATTACATCCAAAACTATATCAATACACATGGAAACGTAAAAATAAAGATGATGAGGCAAGTAGAATAGATTTTCTGACCGGTAAGGAATTGAGAACTATGATAAAGTCTACAGATATTAGACCAGCCCTGATTTCTAGTACGGACCATCAGGTAATTTCACTGAAAATCAACATGTCTAATGATAATAAGGGTAAAGGGTTCTTTAAAATAAACAATAGTGTGCTTACTGATAAATCTTATTAAGAAAAAATAGAAAATATAATTGACTATTTTATACTCAAAAGCAATAACACTGAAAACCTATCACAATTATGGGATTTGTTTAAAATTGAGGTAAGAGAATTGACAATACAGTTTTGTAAAAATAAAGCTAAGCAAAGAAAAAATGAAATTCAAGATTTGGAAAAAAAACTTCAAACATTACAGGAAAAAAACGATAACAAAAAATTAAGTGAAGTGGAAAAGAAGGAAATTAATTTGTTAGAAAGTCAGATAGAATCTCTTTATAGTTATAAAGCAAAAGGTGCACAAATACGTTCTAGGATAAAATGGATAGAAGAAGGGGAAAAGAACACTAAATTTTTTCTAGGATTAGAGAAAAGTAGGCAAACAAGAAAAAATATAATAAATTTAAAGAATGAGAAAGGAGAGATAATTTCAAAACAATCAGAAATACTAAATTTTGAAAAGAAATATTATGAAAAACTTTACACTAGCACTAAACCAGATAAAATTTTTATAAACAACTATATAAAGGATACAAATATTAAACAATCATTGAGTAAAGAGGAAAGCAATTCTCTAAACGGACTCCTCACAACAGAAGAATGTACAAAATCAATTTTTCAAATGAAATTAAATAAATCCCCCGGCCTAGATGGACTTTCAGTAGAGTTTTACAGAAAATTTTGGGACAAATTAAAGAATTTTGCAATTCAAAGCTTCAATCATTGCTATAAAGAAGGGATGTTATCTGAATCACAAAAAATAGGCCTTATTTCTCTAATATTTAAAAAAGGAGACCCCACTGATTTAGGTAATTACAGACGAATTACGCTATTGAATGTTGATGTTAAAATTATTGCATATACATTAGCCCAAAGATTAAAACCTCTAATGTCAAAAATTATCCACAGTGACCAAAATGGGTACATCAAAAACCGTTATATAGGTTTTAATATACGTCAAATACAAGACATTATTGATCATGCAGAAAAGTTAAAAATAGATGGTGCTTTACTTTTTCTAGATTTCTCCAAAGCCTTTGATTCCCTAGAGTGGGAATTCATGTATCAATCACTAACAAAATTCGGTATTGAAAATTCTATGTTAAGATGGGTCAAAACCTTGTATGCAGATATTAAGGCATGTATTTCAAATAGTGGATGGATTTCAAGCACACTGAAAATTTTTAGAGGAATTCGTCAAGGATGTCCTTTAAGCGCCATTTTATTTGTTTTTGCAGTCGAAATATTAGCCTGTAGAATAAGAACTGACAATAATCTTAAAGGAATAAACATAAAGTTAGATGGAAAAACACACAGCCTTATTATAAGCCAGTTAGCCGATGATACTACATTGTTTCTATGCTCTAAAGATGAAATTACTCAATCACTTAATATAATTGAAGTATTTGGCTCTTTATCAGGACTTATTTTAAATCGAACTAAAACTGAAGGATTAGCTTTCGGTAAATTAAAACACATTTCGGACAATTTTGAAAATATTAACTGGAGCAAAGAGACTATTAAAAGCTTAGGTATTTACTTTGGACATAATAAATCTCAATGTATGAATTTAAATATAGAAAAACAACTTCAAAAATCTGAAAAAATTCTTAACTCATGGAAGAAAAGTAAGTTAACAATGATCGGAAAAATAGCAGTTGTGAAATCTCTAGTTATACCCAATATTACATATTTAGCTTCAGTTTCTAACATCGACAAAGATTCAATATATAAGTTTAAAAAAATGATTTATGACTTCATTTGGAACCATAAACAAGAAAAAATTAAAAGAAATACAATTAATATGAAAAAAAATGAAGGAGGTCTTGGAATGATAGAAATTGACAAGTTTATTGATGCAATAAAAATTAAGTGGGTGAAAAGATTAATGGAAGGTGAACAGTCAAATTGGAAAATTATTCCAACATTTTACTTAAATCAGTATGGATCAAATTTTCTAATATTTCACATGAATCTTGATAATTTAAAATCCATTAATTACCAAAAGAGCAAAATCCCTTATTTCTACTTTGAAATACTAAAAACGTGGGTATGATATGGCGGCGGTCAAACTAACAAACCAGAAAACTTTAAAACCATTAGACAACAAATAATATGGGGTAATAAATATATAAAGTTAAACGGGCACAGTTTAATATTTAATCATTGGATAAAAGACAATATAATCTATGTAAATGACATAATTGATGACAAAGGTAGAATATCAAAAGAAAAAATCCTCAATAAGTTAAAATGTAAAAGAAATTGGATTGCTGAAATAATACAAATAAGAAAGAGTATACCAAATCACTGGAAATATATATTACAAAAAGAAGATTCATCAAAAACTATTGTTAAGTGTGAAAAACAACTCTCTTTAAAACAAGACGCAATTATATACGATTTACAAAAAATCAATAATAAAGATATTTATATAATTCTATCAAATGTTAGTAAAGGCATACCTATAGGGTTTACAAGATGGCAGAAAGAACTAAATATAGATAAAAATCCACCAAATATCAAATACACATTAAATTTTATTTTCAATTATTTAGAAGACAATAAATTAAAAATGATTCGATGGAAATTATTACACTATATATTACCTGTAGGTACACATCTTTTCACCTGGAAAATTAAGAACACCAATTTGTGTTCAGTGTGTGGGGTACCAGATACTTATCAACACAATTTCATGGAATGTACTTATTTTAAAGTTTTTTGGAATAAAATCTGTATTCTATTAAATAAACTTCATATTGATAAGCATATAATTACTTTAAAACATTTGGTGGTAGGATATAAAATAGGAGAAGACTCATTAAATGATATTAATTATCTCTTGACAGTTATTTTATTCACTCTGCACAAATGCAATTGCATTTCAAATAATAAGACAAATCAAGTTAATGTGTATGAAATATTTAAACAAGAATATAAATACAGATAATATCTGATGGAATATAGAAATAAAACAATAAGTCAGATGCTAAAAAATATTCAAAAATATATGTAATTGAAATGTATGAATGATGTCTCAGTAGATAAAGGTCATTGAAGTCAAAATACCTTTGCTAGACTTTATATTGTTGTTGTTGGTTTTCTACTTTTTCTATGTATAAACAAACAAAACAAGACACTTTATTTATTATACTTTGAAGCTAAAATGAACATAATTCATCACTGATTTACACTAAGTATCCTCAAGTAATTTTGTGTGTGTTGGTATCAAATCACATGTTGACATTTTTTTTTTTATTTATTTCTACTATACTTCCTGATATTTTTAAAACACTTAAATTCTATATACATTTGTTACTAATGAATAATATATAATACTTACCAAACTAGTTTAATCTAATCCAACAATTTGTTAACTACAAACATGTGCTTTTTTGGCACTAGTTTTCGGACAATGAATTAGTAAACAGGTTAACTAATCCAGCACAAAAGGTCAAGTACAAAATAACTGTCAATGAATGATTATAAATATGGGAAAATGAATACAATTTCGGAAAGCAAATAGATGTTCCGTAAACACGTGATTTATACCACGGAATTCTATACTTTATATGTATACACTGTATTTTAAAGAATGTATATGTAATACTTTTAATAATTGATTACTTTTTTTACTGAACTTTTTCCCTGGAAATTCAGTAACTAATAACAGGGATACTCGGGCTAACGCTGTAATCCGAGTTAATTGTTAAAACAGCAGATATGTAATAAAAGATATTTACTTTCAAAAAAAAAAATAATAAAAAAATGATTTGTTATTTTCAAAAGCGTTTTGACAATTATCACTCTATATGAATTTATAATCTTTCCGTAAAAGATAAGTCAAAGGTTGAACAACAGTAACAACATTTTAAAAGAATTTCCTGTAAATCCAATCATGCCTAAATATCTCATAAGTTGTTTTTTTATTTGTAGGAGGAGGAAATTCGGTAATTGCATCCACTTTAGCCATAGTATGTTTCACTTGTTTGCCCTACATAATCAACAGTGGCCTGACAAAATTCACTTTTACCAAGATAAACAGTCAAATTTGATTGTGACAATCTATCAAAAGTATCATATAAATGGTTCCCAGCTATCACTATATGCAATAAGATCACCAATATAAGCATAAAAACAATCTAAATCTTTTATAACATTATTGATCATTCTTTGAAATGTAGCTGGAGCACTTTTCATACAAAACAGCATGACAGCATACTGAAATATGCCGTCTGGTGTGACAAAAGCTGATATTTCACGAGCTCTCTGTGTCAAGGGTACTTGCCAGTAACCTTTCAATAAATCAAATTTGTTCACAAATTTTACATGCTCAATGTTGTCAATACATTCGTCTATCCTTGGAATCGGATAGGAATCAGATTTTGAAACAGAATTACCTTTTCTGGTTTGGGTACAAGGAGATAAGGAGAGCTCCATTCACTAGTACTCGGCTCAATAATATCATTGTCAAGCATATATCTATTTTTTTGTCTCATAAAATCAAGTTTAAGTGGATTGAACCGATAAGGATGTTGCTTAATTGGAGAAGCATCGCCTACATCAACATCATGACAAACACCAGTGGTTTTTTTTTGGGCACATCTGGAAAAAGATTTTTAAAATTAGTTTTCAATTTTTCTCTGCGATCAAAAGTCAGATGTGCAAGTTTTGAGTCTAAATTTGATAAAATTTCAGAATTTTTCAATCTAACTGTTTGTTTCATAGTTTCAGAATCAAAGGGTGGTTCATTTATATCTGATTTGTCATGATTGTTCTCCAATTTAACCATGGCTAAAGTGGAAACTGGTTTGCTCTCACTACGCTCAAATTATGGTTTTAACATATATGTGACACACTATATTTTATTAGCGCCAAAATAGAGTTTTCACAATATAATTCAAATCATTGATTTTACTCTCTATTGTATAAGGACCAGTATTAAGCCTGTAAAGGATGTCCAGGGACTGGCAAAAATACAAGTACCTTATCACCAGGTTAAAAAAAACTCTGTCGCTGGCATCTTTATCATACCATATTTCGTCTTATTCTGAACACTTTATGATTTTCTGAGCAATTTTACCAGCAGTATACAATTTTTCTTAAAATCTAGCGACATAGTCTAGAAGATTCAAGTCAGTGTGTTCAGTAAGCCATGTTTCCTTAACCAATTTCAAAGGTCTCCTCACAGTATGACCAATTACCAACTCAAAGGGACTAAAACCAAGGAATTCTTGAACAGCATCTCGGACCGCAAAAAGAAGAAAGTGAACACCATCATCCCAGTCCCTGTCAAATTGAAGACAAAAATTGCTCATCATGTTCTTCAATGTTTGATGAAAACGTTCTAAGGATCATGGATATTCTGGATGATAAGCACTTGACCTATACTGAGCAATCCCTATCAGGTAAACAATCTGCTGAAATAAACCTGAAATGAAACTTGAACCCTGGTCGGACTGTATAGACTAAGAAAGTTCTACTTGTGTCGTAGTTCTCCTCTTATATTTAATGTGTTTCCCTCAGTTTTAGTTTGTAACCCGGATTTATTTTTTCTCAATCGATTTATGAATTTCGAACAGCGGTATACTACAGCTTTGACAATAGTTTGAGTCTTGATATTCCTTAACGGAATAGCATCATGAAAGCGAGTTGATGTACACATTATCGTCAAAAGATACGCATTTCCAGTCTTGTTCTTCAGTAAAGGTCCAACGCAGTCAATTAGTACTAGACTGAAAGGTTCTTCTTGAATTGACAGAAGTGGTGCTGGTGGTATTTTCTGGTTAGGCTTACCAACAACCTGGCATATATGGCATGATTTGCAGTATTCTGTTACATCATTTCTAAGTCTGGGCCAGTAGAAGCTGAAGAACCTCAGGGTCTTTATTTTGTTCTTCCACAATTTCTTTTCTGTCTAATGAATGGCTGTTCACGTCTGGCCATGGCATTATAACATGCATCTTAGAACTAGGTGGTTTTATAATGGACTTTTCTAAGCTACAGGAACCTTCAATATCGACAAGGAAAGTGTCAAAAAGGTCCATATAATCATACTGGTCTTCTTGTCAATCCTCATTTTGTTGTTTTCTTGACATTGCCCTAATTACAAGCTGGATATAGTTCAGCATCGTCTGCAGGTGATTTAACATCCACCACTTGTTCACTGGTAACAATTGGTTCAGCAACCACTTTGTTCCTAGCTAGATCATTTCCTAGCAATAATGAAACACCATCAACAGCGAGATTAGGACGAACATCAACAATAACTGGTCCAGTAATTAAATCTGACTTCAAATAAATACGATAGAGGGGAATATCTATACAACCTAACTCCACACCGAGTAACAAAACGGAGCCACCAGGACATTCCAACTTATTGGTAACAAGGGGTGTCGTACAAGCACTCGAATTGGGTTTATTATTTCTTTCATTCTTCTTCTGGAGTCTAAAACAATCAGCCATCAAGTGACCATTTTTCTTACAATAAACACAAGTCAGTGACTTCTTCTTAAAAGGATCAAATTTTGGACTAGACATATTATAACTAGATTGACTCTTATTCTGTTCAACAGGCTTACTGTCAGTACGCTCAGTACTTTAATTTTTGTATTTTCCGGTCGAAGTATTAAAATTTTTACCTTTGAAACTTCTTTTATGTGCAAGGGTTTAGTTATCGAAAATGACAGCTGCATCTTGCAATGTATCAACAGTTTTGTCATCTTAATGTGTTTTAAGTCTAAATGAACACACTGCTTGAACTCTTCTTATGTTATCAAAATTGTTTTCTATTTATTTTGACGTAAGCCATTTATCAAATAGATCTTCTTTTTCCCTACCAAATTCAACAGAGGTTTGTGATTCAAACTTTTTACAAAACCTAAATTTCTGTCTATATGCTTCTGGCACTAGCTCATAAGCTTTCAAAACGTCCTGTTTTACAGTGTCATAACCAGAGCTTTTTTCTGAAGAAAGGTCTTAGTAAATTTCAGCGGCCTTGCCCTCAAAAACACTTTGCAGCATTGTAGTCCAATAAGTCTTCGGCCATTTCAAATTTTGAGCAATTTTTCTCAAACTGTGGAAAATATTTATCAACTTTTTTTTCACAAAATCTGGGAACCAGACGTATACTTTTTTATGCTGCATCAAAATGTACTGATTTTGACACTACTTTAGTGTTACTTTCTTCTTTGACCATTTCAATTTTTATTTTCTCCATCTCAAACCTTTCCCTCATTTCAAGTTCTGCCTGTTTTAGTTTTAATTCATCTTCTTTTTCTTTTTTTTTTCTCTCTATCTCTAACCTTTCCTTCATGACAAGTTCTGTCCGTCTTTCTTCTTTTTTTAACTGTTTTATTTTAATTTCGTTTTCCAATTGTTTTAATGTACGTTCGTGTTTTAATTCAAGCTTTTTTAATTTGATAGCATCAACATTTTCGACCTTGAATTCAAGAGCCTCTTCATCCAAAATTTCTGAATCAACCAAATTTTTTATGATTTGTTTTCTCATATATACTCTTAAAACTATTGTCAGATGTTTAGCAAGCAAAAATAATTCCTCTTTCTTTAATTTAACCAACACCACCAGGTCTGGAGTTTTCAAAAATTTACCGGCATCAAATGCCATTTTGTAGAACTCTGATGGCTAATTCTAATTCAATAAAATAAACAAAAATGTATCTTATATGAACGTAATCCCGGATAAGCCCCAAATTTCTGTTACGGCCAGAAATCACCTTTACATTGTAGCCAACAAAAGACACAAATCAATAATAATATTTAACAAGATTTATTATACAATTTTACAAGAAATATTTCACAAATAGAATGTCAACTTAACTGTTAAAATATATGTCCGATCCTTTGTCTATTCTTAATCCGAAATTCTTCTCTTAACTGTATATAAGTTCACAATCTAGTTTGATGTAGTTAACGTAAATAAAAGTGTCAATCCAACAACTCCAGAGAACTTCTGACAATACAAATATATTAATGTCTGTCTGTCTAATTTCTGTGTCTGTATCTATAATTGTCACGGAAACTTCTAGAACACAGTAGAAGAGAAACTCCTAGAAAATTGTAGAAGGAAAACTTCTAGAATATTGTAGAAGTTGAAATTACATTATGGAATTATTAGGTAAGTCAAATTGTCATTTGTATTTAAAAACCGTCCTCAGTTAAAAAAAAAGTACTGATTTTTTTTGCGGCTTTGTAAAGTTACTTAATAAAGTGCAAATATGGTCAGTTTTGGTTGATGTGGTCAAGTTATTTCTTATACAAGCCAGCCTGGGATATCAAATCTGCTGATTTTGTGTGACGCGTGAATATTTTGAATAAATATAGGACATCCTGGCACTCTAAATTGATGCGGTCAAAATTTTGTAGTCATTGTGCTCCAATATTGCTCTCATTTGTATAATACAATCCATCTTGACATAAAAAAAATACTGATTTATTATGCGGCTATATATAAATTTTCATAATAAAGTGCAAATTTGGTCAGTTTTGGTTGATGCAGTCAAATATTTTTTATATACTAGCCAGCCTGAGATATCAAAACTACTGATTTTTTTTTACGAATCAATATTTTGAATACAAAGAGGACATACTGGCACTCTAAATTGATGCCGACAAAATTTGTAGTCATCATGGTCATTGTGTTCCATTATTGTCATTCGTTTTTTACAATCCATCCTGAGTTAATGAATTTACTGATTAATGATATGGCTATTTAGTTTTCATAATAA